GACCTTTGGTCTTCACGATGCTGCTTTATATGTCACAGACAGAAAATGGGGAAAGTGAAAAACTTTAAAAAAAGACAAGGCATCAAGAACACGTTCAAGAGCACAGCTGGGGAACGACATTATCCACTATTACACCGACAGCTCTGGGAAACCGAGGGACCCACAGCACTGCTCCAGGAGTTCATCAGGCCATCCTGAGCTATAATTGGTCCAGACCTTTGAAATGATAGCAGGCTAACACATAAGTGTCTGCTAAACGCTTGTGTCAACATGCCAAAGGAGCAGTCTAGCTGGGAATTTCAGCAGCTGCCCTCGTGATTACTGCTGCTAGTACAGTTGTAAGATTAAAAAAAAAAAAAAGAAAGTGAAAATGTAGCAGTCAATATGGGGATAAAAGTACCCCAGAGGTGTTTTTGCAGTAGTCAAGAGTACATGCAAAGATTAGCTTAACATGTCTGGAAAAACAGAAATAAGTGCACCTGAAAAGGGAATGACAAAGAAATACATAAAGAAGAATATAGACTGTACAGAGAAATAAATAGACAATCAGGGAATCAAGTGTAAAAATGCTGAAGTAGCCAAATAAAAGTATAACTAAGATGATTACAGTGTTTTGGTTCTGCGTCTGTGTCTGAGCTTTTTAACTTTCTAGTTATTTAAATATTCTATTTGGTCCCTGATTGGTCTAATGTGTTTGTGCTCATTGTAAACAGTTTGTGTTTTTGTTCGTCTTCTTTTTTTCTTTGTAAACTACATCCACAAATACTCAATAAAAATATTTTGAATAATGTGTTCATGCAGTGTTCTTGAGTCTGTTCTCCATGCCCTGCTATTCATCCTTTCCACTGTTCCCCAGCTCTGTTGTTTCCTAGCCTTAGTGTGTTTTCAAGTTTAGGTTTCAAGTAGTTGCCATTTTCTTTGTACTTTACTTTTCATTTTTATTCAAATGTGTCATTAGCTTTCAACAAGTTGCTCACTTTTTATTTCAGTCTGACTGTCTTTGCATCTGGTATTTGGGTTCTAACACTCCACTCTGCATGACATACAATTTAAACTGGTAGCTGACAACATCAAGAAACAGGCAAAATTTCTTCTGACACAATGCATTTGTGCTAAATTGAGTCATCTTAAAAGTAGAGAGAGTATCTGTCTCCCAAATAGGAGCTGATTCCTCAGTAGAGGGGCCTGATAGCTGAAGAGTATGCCTCCTATTCTACTTTTACAAGCTCTAAGCACTACAAGTACAAGTACTACCAGCCAGCAGTCTGACAGAGAAGCGCTCTGTTAGGATAATAAGACACTATGACATCTTTAAAACATGCTTAAATTCTAAATTTAACAGGGAGTCAACGGAAAGAAGCTAATATGGGAGAAATATAGTCTCTCTTTTTAGTCCCAGTTAGTACGCTCACTGCAGTATTCTGGATCAACTGAAGGCTTTTCAGAGAGCTTTTAGAGGGACCTGATATTAGCTTTTTAGCATCAATCTGAAACAGGATGTTTCTAATTTCAGCAATACTGCGGAAATGAATAAAGACAGTCCTACATATTTGTTTAATGTGCATAATGAAGGACATAAAATATACCACAAGATCCTTCACAGTGTTACGGCAGGCCAACGTAATGCACTTTAAAGTAATTATCTGGTTAAAACGGAGGTTGTCTGATTTAGTGACTATCTGAATTTAGAAGTAGGAAATCAGAGCTCATCCAGGCTTTTGTCTGTGACATGCCTGGAGTGTAGTTGACTTGTATCATTTGGCTTCCTGGATAAGTACAGCTGGGTATCTGCAGAGCAATTAAATTGAATCCAGTTTTTTCTAATAATTTTACCTAAGCGAATCATTTATCATATAAAAAGTATTGGTCCCAGCATTTAACCTTGAGGAACTCCGTGACTAACTTGTGTGTGAAGAAGAGTCCCATCTAAAAATTAGTAGATTTACATCTGCAAATATACAGGGAGTGCAGAATTATTAGGCAAGTTGTATTTTTGAGGAATAATTTTATTATTGAACAACAACCATGTTCTCAATGAACCAAAAAACTCATTAATATCAAAGCTGAATGTTTTTGGAAGTAGTTTTTAGTTTGTTTTTAGTTTTAGCTATTTTAGGGGGATATCTGTGTGTGCAGGTGACTATTACTGTGCATAATTATTAGGCAACTTAACAAAAAACAAATATATACCCATTTCAATTATTTATTTTTACCAGTGAAACCAATATAACATCTCCACATTCACAAATATACATTTCTGACATTCAAAAACAAAACAAAAACAAATCAGCGACCAATATAGCCACCTTTCTTTGCAAGGACACTCAAAAGCCTGCCATCCATGGATTCTGTCAGTGTTTTGATCTGTTCACCATCAACATTGCGTGCAGCAGCAACCACAGCCTCCCAGACACTGTTCAGAGAGGTGTACTGTTTTCCCTCCTTGTAAATCTCACATTTGATGATGGACCACAGGTTCTCAATGGGGTTCAGATCAGGTGAACAAGGAGGCCATGTCATTAGTTTTTCTTCTTTTATACCCTTTCTTGCCAGCCACGCTGTGGAGTACTTGGACGCGTGTGATGGAGCATTGTCCTGCATGAAAATCATGTTTTTCTTGAAGGATGCAGACTTCTTCCTGTACCACTGCTTGAAGAAGGTGTCTTCCAGAAACTGGCAGTAGGACTGGGAGTTGAGCTTGACTCCATCCTCAACCCGAAAAGGCCCCACAAGCTCATCTTTGATGATACCAGCCCAAACCAGTACTCCACCTCCACCTTGCTGGCGTCTGAGTCGGACTGGAGCTCTCTGCCCTTTACCAATCCAGCCACGGGCCCATCCATCTGGCCCATCAAGACTCACTCTCATTTCATCAGTCCATAAAACCTTAGAAAAACAGTCTTGAGATATTTCTTGGCCCAGTCTTGACGTTTCAGCTTGTGTGTCTTGTTCAGTGGTGGTCGTCTTTCAGCCTTTCTTACCTTGGCCATGTCTCTGAGTATTGCACACCTTGTGCTTTTGGGCACTCCAGTGATGTTGCAGCTCTGAAATATGGCCAAACTGGTGGCAAGTGGCATCTTGGCAGCTGCACGCTTGACTTTTCTCAGTTCATGGGCAGTTATTTTGCGCCTTGGTTTTTCCACACGCTTCTTGCGACCCTGTTGACTATTTTGAATGAAACGCTTGATTGTTCGATGATCACGCTTCAGAAGCTTTGCAATTTTGAGACTGCTGCATCCCTCTGCAAGATATCTCACTATTTTTGACTTTTCTGAGCCTGTCAAGTCCTTCTTTTGACCCATTTTGCCAAAGGAAAGGACGTTGCCTAATAATTATGCACACCTGATATAGGGTGTTGATGTCATTAGACCACACCCCTTCTCATTACAGAGATGCACATCACCTAATATGCTTAATTGGTAGTAGGCTTTCGAGCCTATACAGCTTGGAGTAAGACAACATGCATGAAGAGGATGATGTGGACAAAATACTCATTTGCCTAATAATTCTGCACTCCCTGTATAAAGATATGCGATGCAGTTCTTTTGCTACCATTAGTGTATTTTAATCACTGTAGTAAAAAAACTGTGGTCGGCCGTGTTAGATGAGCACAGACACCAGTCCAATTTCAAGATCATTTGACTTTCAGTGGTGCTATTTCTGTGCTATACACTCTAAATCCTGACTGAATCTCCTCAGACTAACCATTCCTTTGCAGATGATCAGCTAACTGTTTGAATACCACTATTTCAATAACTTTTAAAAATAACAGTAAGTTTAGAAATCCGTCTATAATTAAGGATCAATTAAGGACTTTTTAAAATAATGGTTTAATTACCACCACCTTAAAAGTTTGTGGTACATAGCCTGATAATAAAGATAAATGAATTAAATTTAAATTCGATGGATGGATAAAATTGAAGCATTAATGGTGAAACGTCTTTGAGCAGTCTTGTATAGGGCTGGGTATTGTCACTGATTTCTAGAATCGATTCGATTAGATTCCGATTCACGATCCACGATTTGATTCAATTCGATTCGATTTAAATCTGGGAAATTTTGCCTCAGAGAGCCAGAAATATTATAATTCAGATCAGTAAATTTACATATTTTTGTATCTATAAAAAGGAAGCTGACACTCGCAAGACTTTATCAAAGGTGTAAGCATCACAGCAGATGCCTTTGTGTCAAAGTAGCTGAAGAAAAACACAGAAAAACATGAAGGTGATTTTCCTGGCCTGGGATTTTATAAAAAATATTCTGCAGTACATCAAAAATGAAAGAAAACCATTAATTAACATATGAACATTACCTCTGAAGTTACAGCGGTTTTATTAGCGCATTATGCATTTTGCATAATTTTAAAAAGTTTACATTTGTTTAGAAGCCTATTGAACAGCAGAAATGAGGCTTTCTTTTCGGAAGCAAGTAAAAGGGAAAAAAACAGCGTCCGACAGCGCTGTAAACAACGGCAGACTTGTGCGTAACAAGCAAGTGAATAATGCAGAAAACAGATTTTTAGACGGGAAACTGTTCTTGAAGTATACTGAGAAAGAGAGAGAGAGCTGTGCATGAAGTGTGGTGGAAGCAAAACAGCAAAAGTCAGAGGGAATTCATGACGATGTTTTTGTGAAGCATAGTTTGGATCTTTTTTTGCTGCTGGTTCGGTCAATATTGTTTGGAGAGAGATGAAACTAACAGCTTTAGAATCAGCGCAAAAAAAGGCGTAGACACAAAGTGCGGATCAGTTATACTAAAGTGAAATATCAATTATAGCAGACAGCAGCATGTGCAACGTTAAGATTATAGTAGGTCTCTAGTATATTTATGTATTTCTAATATATGTCCACCTTTATACATGTATTATTTCTAACACTATATTTACTTAATGGTACAAACACAACCAGATTTGGGGAACGAATAAAAGCTCCGACCAAATGTCACAGACGGTCGTCTAGCACCGACCTTCTCCTGCCTGGGCCTTGCATGTTTTTACTCACATTGATCAGCTTTAGAAGGTGAGGTATGGTTTAGTCTCTCCAGCGAGTCACTGCTGCCTTCATCCAGGATGTAATCAAAGTTCAGGATGAACATCATGACCACACCCTCCTCGTTCTTCACAGGGATGATATGGGTGGCACAGAGGAAGTTTGAACCTAAGCAAAAGGAAATCACAGTTAGAAAGAGTTTTCTATTTGATTGACTTAACATGTGAGCCAGTGGCAGATACAGAATCTCGAAATTATGAGGCCCAATAAATCATTGTAATTTTTCAGTCTGAAGCAAAATGTAAAACCTGATTTAAACCCGACACAGCAGGTTTCTAGACATTTTGACCCTGGAGTTTTCCATTAACACCCTTTGACATTCAAGCATCTTATTCCAGATAAAGCTGCTCACACAGGCAGGTCTGGCAGAAAAATGAGGGTGAAAAGGTCAACAAGGCCTTTGAGAGGAAACCCACTGGAGCTCAATGATTTTATACATACAGACATGCGGCAAGTGTCCTTCACAGTTCAGTACAGTTGAAACATTGCAAACAGCTTACATCAAACCTAACATTAGCAGATTATTTAAATAATGTATCCCCTTGAATAATGAATAATTTCTTATTCATGTAACAACCATGAATATTTTCACAGCAGTTCTCATGGAAGGAAAAAAAATGAGGCCCAATTACTAGAGTTGGCAATGGCTTCACAGTGGGAGGTAATTTAATACAACCCTGCTAGCTGCTAATGCCTCACATCTAAATGTTCCTAATTGATCAAATAGGAAAGAGGTGAACAAAAATAAAGCAGATATAGGAGACAAAATTGTAGACCATTCCTACCAGCTGACTTGTCCTAGCTTCAGAAAAAACCCTCAAATAAACAGAAAATATGATTGTTACATTTTTATTTTTAGGTTTGATTCCGTCTTTAATCCTACTCTAGGCTTAAACAGTAATTGAAGTGTTGCCAACATTAGTAAAGCTGTAGTACAGGAGCAATGAACAAAAATGAGATGCATGTTTATGTTTTAACTAATAAACATAGACATTGTTGGAAGATGCTCTCTCACACACTAGACTTGAAATCCTGGTATCACTATTAGGCTATTTATAGCTCACCCAGCAGGCACCCAGCCCAGATCGTTTCTTTTCTGGGGGAGCATAGATGCACTGCTGCTCAAACACCCTAAACTGCGATTCTTACTCTGCCTACAAAAGAATTGTGGATTACCACTCACTTTCTTATATCAGGTTCTCAAATGCTACTGTGCAGCTTTGTAAACCAAAGTAGTTCACAAGGCCTGGCTTTGATTTATGTTTTAGGAAGTCCAGATTTTGCAGGGCTAAGCAATATCCAGGGCCTAACAGTATATCAGTGTCACCATGGGTGGGTTTAAATATTCATTTAAATCTGGGGCGGGGGGGGGGGGGGGGGGGGCTGGGAACGACTACCGTGCTTCCTGTGACTACAGTGTCAACACTGTAGCATTGTAGCTTACAGATAATACAGAACATAAAGTCACAGCAGATGGTTGCCTCTTCTTCACCCTAGTTCTGCCTACTCACTCACAGGGAATGACCAGATTGCTAGTGTTCCCTCTCCAGTTCCGTACCTTTACCTTAAAATGACTCTTGGTGTAAACCGGCACTATATACACACATATACACACTACACTATGAACACAGCATTGACTACAGAGTGAGTATTAAGAGAACAGCATTCTGATATAGCAACTATGACTTGAGGTAAAAAAAGAAGCTTGTTTTGAATGACAACTGAAGCAAGCACTTTGGCGACAGTGGGAAGGAAAAACTCCCTTTTAATAGGAAGAAACCTCCAGCAGAACCAGGCTCAGGGAGGGGCGGCCATCTGCTGCGACCGGTTGGGGTGACAGGAAGAAGACAAGATAATCCACATAGTTTAGTTTGCATTCAACATACTTTTTAAAAGCAATTTGAATCAGACTTGACTGTCAATTTTATTCACACGCTCCCCATACACTTATGAAATAACTACCCAGAAGATGGTAAATGGCCTGTATTTGTATAGCACTTTACTTAGTTCCTAAGGACCCCAAAGCGCTTTACACTGCATTCAGTCATCCACCCATTCACACACTGGTGATGGCAAGCTACATTGTAGCCACAGCTGCCCTGGGGCGCACTGGCAAAGGCGAGGCTGTAGGACACTGGCACCACCGGGCCCTCTGACCACTACCAGTAGGCAACGGGTGAAGTGTCAAATCAAATCAAATCAAATCAAATCACTTTTATTGTCACATCACATGTGCAGGTACATTGGTACAGCACATGCGAGTGAAATTCTTGTGTGCGAGCTTCACAAGCAACAGAGTTGTGCAAAATACAATAACATAAACAGGCAAAATATACGAATGGCTAAATCTGAAACTAATAAATATATGTACAATATATAATAGTATATGCAAAAAAAAAAAAATTCTGGATGTGTATACTAAATGTTTTTCTACGTGTGTGTGTGTGTGTGTGTGTGTGTGTGTGTGTGTGTGTGTGTATACACATATTTTACAAATTAAATAGAGTCAATAAATAAAATATATAAAAATATACAGAGTTGAGACATGTGCAAAACAGTGGCATTACTGTACAGTATGGAGTGCATAATGTTGAAGTTCCAGTAGTGAAGCTGAGGTGTCTATGACGTGTTCAGCAGTCTGATGGCCTGATGGAAGAAGCTGTCTCTCAGTCTGCTGGTACGGGACCGGATGCTGCAGAACCTCCTTCCTGATGGAAGTAGTCTGAACAGTTTATGGCTGGGGTGACTGGAGTCCTTGATGATCCTCCCCGCTTTCCTCAGGCACCGCTTCCTGTAGATGTCTTGGAGGGAGGGAAGCTCACCTCCAATTATCCGTTCAGAGCACCGCACTACTCGCTGGAGAGCTTTGCAGTTGTAGGCGGTGCTGTTGCCATACCAGGTGGTGATGCATCCAGTGAGGATGCTCTCAATGGCACAGTGATAGAAGGTCCTGAGGATGCGGGGGCTCATGCCGAATCTTTTCAGTCTCCTGAGAAAGAAGAGGCGCTGCTGCGCCTTCTTCACTGTTTTGTTTGTGTGTACTGACCACGTAAGATCCTCAGCCAGATGTACCCCAAGGAACCGGAAGCTGCTCACTCTCTCCACAGCAGCGCCGTTGATGGTGATGGGGGTGTGTACTTCTCTGCACCTCCGGAAGTCCACTATCAACTCCTGTCTTGCCCAAGGACACAACAACTGAGACTGTCGGAGCCAGGGCTCGAACCGGCAACCTTCCAATTACAAGACAAACTGCCAACTCTTGAGCCACGATCGCCCCAGAAGAGTTACCAATATGGCTGCCAAGTGGTAAGTCATGCTTCTAGAAGGACTTTGACGTTAGCTAGAGGGATTAAATCCTGACCTACACAAATATACACACATTATTAGTGGAATATTTTGGATATGAAAAGAGTGCATCCAGATATTATTGTGTACTTGCCTCATACTGACAGATTCAGTTATTTACCCCAACTTAAAATATGAACTTCAATCAATGACTTTGATTTTAGCTTTCATCTCAGCTCAGATATGTTTGTCATTATAAAAATACAAATGCATCTGTTGTTTTTATCTCTTTAAGCACAAGGAGTAGCACTGACAGTGATAAGCATCCTATAATTTGACTCACTTTGTTTGCAAATTAAAATCTTCTCCGTCTGTCTCCATGGAAACAACTGAGCGCTCCAAAGAAAGTTAAACTCACTGCACCATTCTGTCATCAGTACAAAGTGACTTCAAGATGTTTTTCAAATGATTATCTTTATTCATCTGCCAATATACAGGGTGTTGAAAGAAATTTCCCTTTTATGGCAACAAACAAATGGAATAAATCATTTAGATGGGCATTTAACAGTGTTTCCACTGAAAACACAAACACCACCCAGCCACCTATCATTAAATTTTTTCAGTTGTAGTTTTGAAGAAGTGTCTGAAGTTGTACAAATGCACATTTGCATAGACTAACCAAACATGCAAAACAAATCACATGCATGCACACAGATGCCCTCACATGTGCACAACCATACAGTGCTGTGCAGAAGTCTCAAAGCATTCTATCCATCAACGAACAAAATCCAATAAAACTTGCTAAATATTATGTAATGGTAAATGGCCTGCATTTGTATAGCGCTTTTCTAGTCCCTAAGGACCCCAAAGCGCTTCACACTACATTCAGTCATTCCATTCACACACTGGTGATGGCAAGCTACATTGTAGCCACAGCTGCCCTGGGGCGCACTGAGAGAGGCGAGGCTGCAGGACACTGGCACCACCGGGCCCTCTGACCACCACCAGTAGGCAAACATGGGGTTAGTATCTTGCCCAAGGATATTTGGCATGCAGCCAGGAGGCAGCCTGGCAGACCTTCTGATTAGTGGCTGACCTGCTCTGCCACCTGAGCTACAGCCACCCCATGTAAGTATAACCATCACTCAAGACCATGAGAAAAACATCTTATTCATTTCAAAGTCAGTCTATGGCATAGCAACAAAATCCCAGCACGTGGTAAGTCAAAGAATTATCTTCAAACATAAGGCGAACAAAGGGCCCCACACTAAACACACCATGCAGAGATTATATCAAGAGACAAAAGACAGTGAGCCAGTCTAAAATCCAGAGACCTGTGGCACATTTTCCAAGATTGAATAACTGCACGTGTACCCAGGAGAACTGGAGATGCTCACATCAAATATAGATAGTTATGATTTCATTTTTATGTGATTAGTTGACTATACTATATTATTTTTTAACATACAGTACTTTCCAGTACTTGTAGTAAATTCGTTCACAGTACAGTACAGAGCAGTCTATAAAAGTAGTGCTTGCAGGGACAAAACCCCAGCCTTGAAATGGAATCTATGTGTGTACGTGTATGAGGGACTCTAAAAATAAGCTGCTTGGAATCCATAGGCATTTATAATTCATAAGTGTCAAGTATTATATTCTAGAAAACATAATGGTGACTTGGTGACAATGGCTTTTTTAGGCAACATAAGAATGAGAATGGGTTTAAAGCTGTGTGTATGAAGAAGAATAGAAGAAGAAGAAAGTGATGGGAATTTTATAAAAACTTAAAGTTTGTTAAAAAAAATCAATATTTTGTTTATTGT